GGGATCATTTCTTTTCTTACAATCAAGGCAAACCATAGAAGTGCAAAAATGAGTATAATTTATATCTTATGTCTCCTTCAGATTAACTATTCAAAAGTAATTAATAATTGATAATCATTTGATTGTTTTATTATTATTATTCAACTAAAATAGTTATCCAACAAATTAGATTGTACTTGGGATTACTGTAAAGTATTGTGCGTATGGTTTTTGTACTACAAAAATAATTATATTATTATTTGATAATTACTTTAAAAATAGTATTATTCATTAATATAACCACTAAGTTATATAAAATATCAATTAAAATTAATTTAATTATAATAAATTAATACTTTCATAAAGTGTTTTGTAGAAAAATACTGTAAAAAATCTACCCCAAATGTATCCTAAGATACTTACGGGTATCAGGCATTGGCATCAGGTATACTTATACTTATTTCACAATCTAAATTTCTTTGATCTAAATCCCAAATGATAACCTATATTTAAAAGACCAAACTCTCTATTTGTATCTTGCATATTATTTTATTATTGTTTTTTTTTTTTTTTGCAGTCAACACCCTTCATAATTTTCACTTTCAATTAACACCTCTTATAATTTAAAATCCGTAAAAAACTTTTAATTACCAACAAAATAAGGGTGCAAAGAAGGAGTTTAATAATTTATTTATGGGTTTTTTTACAAGTTTTAAATTATAAAAGATCTTGATTGTGAGTAAAAATTTTTTTTTTTTTTTTGACCAGGTAGATGGTTAGGAAGTTAGTAGAGTTAGTTTATTAGCAGCTGGAATTTTTCCAGGAAAGTGAAACTTCCACCCCTCATTTGAGGCGCGCGACCATTAAGTCGCAAGTTGGTGGAGTTCACGGCGGTGGCAGAGCTCGAAACCCTGACCTCCGCCTCACCCAAGCCCTAAGGCTTGGGGGCCAACCAATTGGGCCCCAGGCCCGGTTTGCGATTGTGAGTAAAAATTCTAGAGGTAGAGACTGCCAAGACAGGTTATTTCAAGGACCATAAGTCCACTGGTTATCCTGGCCTAAGCCCATAAACATGGTTGCATATCATTTGCAGTTCCCTTACCTAAACTAAACAAATCAAAACATAAAGTTCATTTAATTCAGATCAAACAAAGGAGGCTTCGAATCAAGGAATATGTAGAGAAATTTTATACCAAATCAAAATTACCCACAATCTAAGAATTGAAACATTGTTATTGCAAAAATTTTACGACCGTAGCGTTTTCAAAACCATCTAGAATCGTAAGAATTTTTTTACTTGCTCTACCTACTAATCCACCTTGACAAAGGTTTCATGTATCCGGGTTCATTTAGCAACCATCCACAAGTCGTAATAGAATTTCCATTTTTTGACCTCTAACCGTCATTCCGCTTCCATTTTGTATGGTTGTTCATGTATAAAGAAATATTATATCTCAGCAGCATGGTAATGTCTGTAGTGGGATCACAGCATCTTTCTCGAACTTCCTCAAATTCTTTCTAGATTCATCTTGTGATCCTCTACTTCCCAAACTAGCTCAACCCACCAGTGCCAGTTCTTCCACAACTGCCAATCAAACAAGCACGAAGTAAAACTTTCTCTATCTTTGTCAACAATTTTTCTTTGTTTTGTTCTCCTTCTCTACAATTTTTTGATTGACCTTCTGCTTATAATGTGGAAATTGCATCATTTCTTTTGAGTGGTTATGAAAAAGACAAAAAACATTCTTTCTTCGTAGTTTAAAGCTATTGGACATGGAGGAGAGACTTCTCCCTGAAAGAAAAGAGAGCTTGAGGGTGAGAGTTTGGGAGGAATCAAAGAAGATATGGAGGGTTGCATTTCCTGCCATGTTAGCTCGAGTATCGGGTTTTGGAATGTTTGTTGTCACTCAGGCGTTCATCGGACACATCAGTGAGGTTGAGCTTGCAGCCTATGCCCTTATACAGATCATCACTGTCCGATT